CGTTTTTGTAGTGGTTTTGCACCAGTTTATGTAGTAGTTTTTGGTAATATTTGTGGTGGTTTGCAGCGATTTTGAGGTGATTTTTTTAGATAATTTTGTGGGGGGTTTTTGAGGTAATTTGTGGTGATTTTGTGGTGGTTATTTTTTGAGGTGGTGGTGCTTGTAGTGGTGCTGGTTGTATATTCAAAGAGTGGATGTCAAGTGCTGTGTTGATATTTATTGACGGTGCATGTAATGATGATAGGTCACAAGTCAAATGTACCAGGTCACACGTTATTGTGTATTGGTCACATAAATATTCACAAGTCACAGATCATATTTGTATGCACAAGTCATGCTCCACAGGTTTCTAGGTCATATTGTATAGGTCATAGATCAATGATCACCATGTGTTGGCCACAAATAAATTTTCAAAAGTCATGAGTCACTATGAGCAGGTTATAGATCAATTAAAAATTAGTCACATATAAATGTCCATAGGTCGCAGATCAATGTCAACATGTCACAGATAATAAAAAAAAAAAATGGTTATAAACAATGATCATAAGGTCACAAGTCATAGTCAAAGTGCATTGGTCACAAATAACAAATTCAAGAGATCCACTCACACGACATTGATATCTCTGATCACAATTCTCCGAATTGGTCATGGATCCAATTTACCGGATTTCGATGGTGAGAATTGAAATTATTTGTCTGGTACTTTGTACATTTCACTAGGTGTTGTTTTTTAATTTCTAATTTAAAAAAAATAGATTTAAATTACACCAACACTACTCAATCGCTGTGAATGCTCATTCAATGTTATTCAACAGTTGTTATGTTATTTCCTCTATCTCTACTTCTAAGCCGATGATGCACAGTTTCCGATGTCCATAAAATCTACATCAATTCGTTGTTGAAACAGTCATCGACAATCTATAGATTTTATGGATGTTGTAATTGTGAGGGTATAATTGTGAGGGTAGATGTCGACGGACCGGTACGAGGGAGTGGGGTGAGGTGGGAATGGAGGTTTGGTGGAGCAAATAGATTAATTTAATTTAATAATAATTTTATTTAAAATTAAAAATATTGAATTAACACCTGACTTTTGAAATTTTAAACTTAGTCTCTAGAAATTGAATTGGTTCATACTTAATAACTTATATATGAATTTTTCCCAAGAATTATTCTTGCAAGTGACGATCCTAAGACCCAATGACAAGTGGCCAGTCATGAATTAGATATAGGCTAGCCATTAGGGTCGTAGGGTAGGCGATCAAGTCTGCCTTCCAAGCCCATTAAATTTGGTTAATGCTTATGGTACAGAAAAAAATTCTAGAATTCCTACAGATGTGTATGAGATGGGATGAATTAAATTATTGCAAAAAATAACCCACTCACCCTGCATGTGTGTATTCTGTAAGAGTTCTGTACAATAATTTCTGTACGAATAGCATTGTTCATTAAATTTTGAAGGAAAAGTTCTATGTATCAATCCATTAGACCTTTATTTATTTATTATTATTTTTTGGGAGGGGGGGTTGTTTCCCTATTGACTCAATCCCTGCTAGCTGTGATGTAGGTGGATTAATGGATAAAGCTTTGTGCAGGGGCGGACCTGGGCCTTGGTTTCCTATAAGGTCAATTGACCCCAGTTTCTGCCCTTTTTTTGTTGGTTTTTATTTTTTTTTAGAATGTCAAAGTTTGAAACCTACAATATAAATATAATATGCAACCGATAGTTAGAAACTCAATTTTGTACCTTTGTCTCTCTCTCCCAATCGGTCAACGACGAACTGTCATTACAATTTGAAGTTTACCCACCGTTTGAAAGTTTAATTGTAACCTCCTATCCGAAAGAGGTTGAGTCCGCCCCGGCTTTGTGTACATAAGGGTGTCCATACACCCAAATGCCCCCACACTCATGTGAGTGTATAGACGTCGTTATGTACATAAAATTATGTACACCAAACACAATCCATGGATTAATAGTATCAAATTACTAACCTAAGAGAAACTTCAACCACAACACCAAATCAACATTTTTCACTACTTTGCACCAAATATTTGGTGTAATGCCACTCCAACCCAACACCAAATTTATCACCATTTTGACCAATTTGATAAAAGTCCCTTTTGCCATCTTTTCATTTATTACCAAATGATATCAAGGATGTATGTGTCACTTTACATTTTACATAAATTTTAGTTCTTAATTAATTAATTATCATTTGTATTAAACTTTAATCGTGTAATCAATAATAATCATGAATGAATTAAAATAATAATATTTAAAAAGTTTTAAAATGCATCATGATTATTTAAAATTAAAACGAATCCATAACAGCAGCCACATACATGACGTACTCAACTATACATAAAATGGAGCATTTTTGTGGGATGAATATATGAATTTCGATAATTAAATTATGACACTACGTCGACTTTATCATATCATAGTTTCGGGATTCGAAATGTATTACGTTATTTTTAATGATTTAAGATTTTCGTAGTTGTGGTACTTTTAGTAATTGTACTACATTTTTAAAATTTATTAAATAATTTAATATTTTCATAAACGAAACGTAATTATGTATGTAGTAATTTATGTAGTAGTAAATCGGGATTCGATATGTATTACGTTATTTTTTAATGATTTAAGATTTTCTTAGTTGTGGTATTTTTATTAAGGGAAAATTGTAGCGGAGGTCCCAACCATTTCATTTTGTTGCAGAGTATACCTTAACCTTTCATTTTTGTGGCCGCAATCCCAAACCTTTCACTTTAACAGCAACTGGAGTCCAAATGACAGACTCCGTCCAGAATGCCATTAGTCAACACCGAAATTGAAATTTTGACTCAAATTGGCAAAGTAAGTACGGGGTAAAATGGCAAATAAACATTTTTCTAAAATAAAACAATTCAAATAATTATATAAAAATTTGCAAAACACCAAGTACTTATTCTTCTCCAAACATCTCACTCTCCATCCCCAAAATAAAAAAAAAAAACAAAAACCAAACCAAATCACTCCGACCACTGCAAACCCATTGTCGTCATTACAGTACCACCCGTTCGTCATCGCCACTGCCACACCGCACAACATCGTACTGCACCAAGAACCCAATGCCAAATGAAATTAAGAATGGTATCAAAGCCAGAAAAAGGGTGTTCATTGGAAGATCTGCCTTCAATCCAAAATAATAGGGGTAAATCGATCATATCGAAGAAAAAGCTAACTTGCCTTGCCCTCGTTTCCATTAGTTCTCCTAAAGGTGGTGCTGTTGACAAGCAGCTTCTCATCAACTTCGAGAAAAAAATTTAAGACCCAAAATAGAGATGGTGGAATTGAATTACAAAAATCACTGAGTTTTGGTGGGAAAAATTGAGCAAAAATTAATTGCTCTCTAGTAGGCATATAGTTAAGACATACCAAAAATTAATTTTGTAGGTGGTTGCATTTATGGTGGCTGCAGTGGGTGGTGCGGCGTCGTGTGTATTAGGGATGGTGGTCGATGGTGACTGGTTTTGGGTTGGGATGGGATAGGGGGATGTTTAGAGAATATGTTCTTTTTGATGTTTGAAGAAGATGATGTTTGGTGAAGATATTATAGAAAATGTTCATTTACCATTTTAACCTTCACTTAATTTGACAATTTGAATCAAAATTCCAGTTTCGGTGTTGACTAACAACATTCTGGGCGGAATCTGTCATTTGAACTCCAGTTGCCATTAAAGCGAAAGGTTTGGGACTGAGACCACAAAAATGAAAGGTTAAGGTACACTCTGCAACAAAATGAAAGGTTTGGGACCTTCACTGCAATTTTCCCTTTTATTAATTATACTACATTTTTAAAATTTATTAAATCATTTAATATTTTCATAAACGAAACGTAATTATGTATGTAGTAATAAATTAATTAAATAAATAAATAATTTTTCAACTATATAAATTGCTAAGAATAAAAAAAAAAATGAAGTAAATGATTAAACAATGTTTATTTAGTACAACTTTTGGTGTAATGGATTAGAGATCATTTTTAGTTTGATGCAAGATTTTGTGCAAAATTGTGTAAATTTTGGTGCAGAGTTGCAAATGGTTTTTCCTGTACCAAAATTTACACTATTTTCCACCAATACTAAACTAAAAATTATTTACAACCCATTATGCTAAAAATTACACCAAATGAATAGTGTTTAATTATTTTTTAATTTTTTTATTCTTAACAATTTATATATCTAAAAAATTATTTATTTATTTAGTTTACTACTACATAAATTACTACATTTCATTTACGAAAATATTAAAATCTTTAATAAGTTTTAAAATGTAGTAAAATTAATAATCATTTTGAATCCCGATATTAAAATCTTTAATAAATTTTAATATTAAAATTAATAATCTAAGAAAATATTAGATCAAGTTATTGAAAAACAACGTAGTGCATTTAGAATCCCAATATTATGATACGACAAGTTGACCTAGTGTCGTAAATAATCATATTTGTTGCATTTTAAAACTTTTTGAGTACTTTTATTGTTGATTACAGAATTAAAGTTTATTACAAAAATAAGAATTAAATTTTATGTATAATATAAAATGACACGTGTGCCCTTGATATCATTTGATGCTAAATGAAAGGACACATTTTGCACGTATTTTGTTTCAAGTAAAGTTTTACTCCATTTTTATCCTTTCTTAACCATTAAATTTTGAAGTCCATAAAATGCTTCCAAAAATGCTCCTCATACAGGTCAAAAAACAGGGACTGCCACCTCAGTCCTTGATTTCAATTGAAACCCTGTTTTTAGGCCGGTCTCATATTTCAAGTGTATGATTCACTAAAAAAAGATAGATGAATTGATTGAAGTGCTTGAAAAAAAAAAAAAAACAGTGCGGCTGATTGAAGTTGAAAAAAGGGCTGAAGGTTGCTTGTGCAGGGCAACTTTTCAGAGAATCTTAATGGGTAGAATTTACCATTCAAAGATTTTCAGATCAACTCCGTTTGAAAGAACGCTGCTTAATTAGTACAGATAGCACATACCTCTCACAACGTTTCACAAAAAAGCTAGACGAAAATACACAATTACATTGACAACACAAGATAGTTCGAAACAAATCATTTTTTGAAGTGTTTGAAATTGTACTCAATCCACTCAAACTTCTCGTCAGCGTCTTCAAACACCGGTAACACCTCTCTATTCCGCTTATGCGATAAGAACATAAGCGCGAAATAGTACAACTCAGTTTTCTTTACCAGGCTTCCCGTCGCCAACAATTCTTTCAAACATGTTTTGGCATCCGTTCCATTTGCACTTACGATATTGCTCAATTTTGCCTCAATCTTCTCCCCAACACTAGCAACGCGATCAACTAAATAAGACAATTCTCTTGCGGAATTTTTCTTCTTCTTCTTGTATTTATTCTTCATGACAGAACTACGTTTGTTGCCGCTGCGAGGAGCAGATACATCCATGCTCGACGTGCCCTTCTCCTCCATCGGCTCGTCACTTGAGTCACTACTTTCCGCGTCGATGGGGATCTCATCCTGATGGTCTTTGGAGGAAGTATTGTCGAACATCCTTCTGCAGAGTTGCGCCGGGGTAACTGCATACTTAAAAGGGTCATAAGATTCACCAAACAATACTGCGTATTGAATATATATCTCCCTGCAATCTTTGTCCTTGAAGTCTTTGTAAAAGGGGTTCTCCTGCAACATTTCACGCACGCAAAAAGCAGATATGATAGTGGGATTTAAAATTTATATTTCATAATATTTAATCGTAGATTAAATTATAATCGAATGAGCGTCTGATGCATCCCAAATGAAAAATTGCCAAAATTTAGCAAGCTCTTCATGTAATGTGAATAAAAATAGCAGCAGTATATACCAACCATTCTGGAAAACACAAATATTACAGCAAGTGCATATCATTTCCATACAGCATAATTTAGAACAATTATTATTCACTTAACAGAGTTTGCAATTTCATCACAACAGAATCACCGATAGTAAGAGTTGGGACCAATCTAAACTAAAATTCCAATGCACTAAAAACATCAGTTTCCTAAGCCAAATGATGTCATTTTGATTACGGTTGTATCACAAATTAAATTTAAAAAACCTGCCTAGAACTGCAAATAAACATACGTTTTCTGTAGTCAAATTATCTACGGTCGTTGCTGCCAAGTGAAAACAGAGTGTGATTGGCAATTAAAACGTCAACTAAGCCGTTTAATTCAAGTTACTGGATTCATGAACAATCGTCTTCACCATGGGAAGCATACAAAGTTTTAAGGGATCCGGAGAGACTGAGTCATTACCTTGATTTTTCGACTCCACCGATTCTCCTTCGCAACAATTAAATTAGTAGTTGGGTTGTACTTAAACCCGAAGCATCGAATCAACTCATGAAATCGTTTATGTTCACGCCTCATTGAATCCCAGTGGTTTTTCGGTTGAGTTTTGTTCCAATTCTTGCCGGCTGTCGAGTTGAACAAGAAAATGAGTCTCCCACCCGTGTTTGGTAAAACGCTTCCCTTGACGGTGACCTTCAGCAATAACCGTTTCACACGCTACTATAAAAATTGTATGCTCCCTGTCGCTCCATTTGGCATTTTTCCGGCCGGTGGGTTTGTTCGGGACTTGAGGTGAATTGGCAGTGGAGCAGTGCGGATGGTTACCGATCTGCAAACAAATGAAAGCATCGTTACAATGTTGAATGCTTGTACTCTCGAGTCAAGTACAAAGGGTGTGCCACAACCAAGCACAAAATAGAAGTTGAGTTTTAGGGCAACTCCAACCATGACACCATTGCATCATTTTGCACCATTTTTTGGTGCAAAATTGTTCCAAACCAACATCAAACTTTGCACCATTTTGGTGCAAAATGGTGTAAGCGTAAAATGTCCCTTTTGCCCTTATTTAAACATTTTTCAAATAAATTTGTTGAGAATATTTATGTCATTTATGCTATATATTTTTTAATATAATAAATTATTATTTTTATTAATATTAATATTAATATTATTTGTATTTAAAATAAATTTTAAATGTAAGACATAATAATTAATAAATTAATTAAAAGACGAAAACAATTTAAAATACATCAAACACGATTATTTATTAAAGTTAACACGAAATATATTAAATAGCGACATATATACGATAATCTAATTTTATTTTCAAAACAATGATACATAAGGATACATACATACCCTTGCTCGTCATAAATAAATCAAGGATAAAGAAACTCACATTGCACTTCAAAATGCATTAATCGATCATTTGTAGGATGAACATATGAATTCTGAAAATTAAATTGCAAAAATTTAGCAATTTCGTAATATCGTCTATCCAAATTCGAAATGCATTGTACTATTTTCTGACGGCATGATTTCATATTTTCGTTGTTATAGTATTTTTATTAATTATTCTATATTTTTTATATTTATTAATTAATTTAATCTTTTCTGTAATTTAACATAATTATTTATTTAGTAATTTATGTATTTATAAAATAATTAAATAAATAACATTTCAAATAAGTAAATTATAAAGAATAAAAAAAGTGAGGAAAATGATTAAATACTGTTCATTTGGTGTAATTTTTGGTGTAATGGTTGGAGATGAATTTTAGTTTGGTGCAAGATTTAGTACAAAATTTGGTATAAAATGGTGCAAAATTTGTTGTATGGTTGGAGATGGCCTTAAGGGCAACAACCTTGAAAATTAAACAGTCGAGAAATATGCGCAAACGTACCGGATTATGATATGTATCCATGGTGTCAAATAGCGAAAGAGTAGTCGAATTCGATTTGCAAAGGGTTCAGCCGTTGGACTCTGTGTTTGGAATTGACGCCGTGCTCTTTATAATCTGGAAGGGAGAAAGGTGGTGTTTTGAGTTTACCTTTTGAGGCAGTAACGAGAGAAGGGCAGTATAGGGAATTCTCATGAAAGAACATTTTTTATCTACAGTAAGTTTCAGGGTGTCATGTCAGATATAATGCAATAAATAATTGAAGTTTAATAGTGCTTTATACCATATTAATCAACTAAGCAACCATTATTTATGAAAATAGAGTTTTGTATATTAATTTTTAGCCCCTATTTGATAACTATTATTTTTCAATATTTTTTATATAATTATTTTTAATCGTTCATGCAAAAAAGATATTTTACAAGTAAATCTATTTTTTTAACTATACATTCTTTTAAAAATCACTATTTAAAATAATATTTTTTCAAATAATGGCTATCACAAGGCATAAAGTGTTCTCAATTTTCTGACATAGGGTTTGTTCAACAGTGATTATGAGAATTGATTTTTTGATTGTTAGAGAGAGAAAAGTGAATCTCACCTATCCATGAAAAAGTGAAAAATCACGGCTGAAATAGTGAAATAACAATCAAAAAGTTAATTTTTTAGATGAACAATTGCTATCAAACGGGGTACAATCTATTTCTCCACTCTCCTATTTTTAAACATGATAAATGACTTTATTCTCTCAGAGCCTGTTTGGGAGTGATTTTGATAATTGATTTTTTGATCGTTAGAAGAAAATTAGAGTCCACTTGAAAGAAAAAAAAAAGTCAAATATGACGTCTGAAATAATAAAATAACAGTCAAAAAATCACTCCCAAACATGCTGTCAATTTATTGAACTATTTTACATGAATGAATTAAATGATACCTGCCTACCTGACATACTTTACTTTTACCTCAATTGCAGCATTTGAGGATAAAGATATTTGTACAAAATTTTGTTGACAAAATAGTGTACTCACTCTCACAAAATTAGCGGATCCATGTGAATTTAAAAAATGTCAGCTTATGATTCCCACTCTCCTTGTGAGTAATGAGTAAAGAAGTTTGTAAAAAAAATTGATACATGTAGCATGATCCTTTAAAAAATGCATTTCCTTTCCTGCCCTCAAAAAAATGTATTTATTTTTTTCTTGGCATTGTGCAAAACGTTGGCGGTAGTTTTGGAATTTTACAAATTTGAATTCAAAAAGGGTAAATTGCTCCACAATCCACATGATGCCAGGGTAGTTGATAAGACTGCGCGTAATTGGACAGAGGCGGGTTAAATCCACTGATGGTTATCGAACTTTATGTCCTTGTTCAGAGTCTCATTTTTACGAAAAATAATACATTTTTAAATAATATTTTAATCACATATTCTTGAATAAAATAATATTACATACAAATCGATTTTTATTTTTTATTTTTTCATCACATATTTTTCATCAATACACTATTTAAAAATACGATTCAAACAAGCCCCATAGTTAACGTGACCATGATAGCTTAGGCCCCCTTTTGAGCCCTATCATTTCCTTATTAAAATGAAAAATATGACATTTATTCATTACATTAAGTCATTATATTTGACTTTTTATTTTTTGTGTGGGATTATAACGATTATATTTTTCATTTTAATTTTTACAATAATGTGACTTAAATGGGGCCTTAATTTGATTTTATTTAATCATGGTTACCCAATTTTACACTTCGAGGTGTACAGTAGGGATTTTAAGTCAGTTAAAATCAATTTTCTGATCTTTATTTCACTACTTCAACCGTTATTTTTTAATTCTTCTCTCACAGGCAGTACCAACTTTTATCTCTAACGGTTAAAAAATCAATTTTCAAAATCTCTACCAAACACCCTCTTAGTGTCACCATGATTATCCAATTTTATTTTATTTCATCATGACGTCCAATTTTACACTTAGCCCCATTTGGCCCTCATTTTCGTTCTCATTCTTTTTCTCTCTTATTTTTAACCACACAATCTTCCATAAAATACTATTACACGCAAATAAAAAAAATTCATTCTTTTTCAATCACACATTTTTCAAAAAAAAAAAAAACATTATTCCAACCATTAAAATTTTGATAGAATGGGGGCTTAGTGTCTCCATGACTACCCTATTTTATTTTATTTCACTATGATCGCCCAATTTCATATAATGTTTCACAATTGCCACTTAATTTCTTTTCACATTTTTCACTGATTTTAAAAAAAGGTAAATGGGTAACTTACATTTTTGGTAGTCATTTTTTTCAAAATGCATTTTTCTTTCTCTTCTTTTCAATCACACATTCTTTATTAAAATAATATTACACGTAAATAAAAAAAATTTCTTATTTTTCAACCACACATTTCACATCAATTTACTATTCTAAAATACATTTTTACATAAAAATGTTTATCAAACACCCAATATATATATATATATATATATAATAAGTTTTTATTTTAAAAATAAACGAAATTATATATAAGTGAAAAATGTGAAAAGAAGTTAAGTGGCCATCATGAAACGTTATATAAAATTGAGTGGTCCTGGTGATGACCATGTTGACATTAAATATAAAGTTGAATGATCATGGTAAAACAAAATCAAATTGGGTGGCCATGATAACATTAAGTATAAAGTTGAAAGGGAATTGATGAACACTGTCACCATAGAAAAATTGTTTTCCAACAAAAAAAAATGTTAGGTAATGCTCATACAGGAGAAAGGTGCTAAGGTCGTAGCAATGAGGGATATGTCTTAGCCATTTTTTGAAAGGTTGGGAATGGCGTCGCAGCCACAATTACACTGCTATGTTTAATTTACTTATGCCTCGTTTGATTGCACGAAATTTTCCATGGAACTTAGAATTCGAATTTCAACTTCCACTTTTAGCCTGTTTAATTGACAAAATTTCTCAGGGAATTGATTTTCCATGAATTTCTAGGTACAACACCTTAAAGCGTGATTTTTCACCTTTTATTTTCCTAAAAGGTAGGTGATTTTTGGTTTTCCACCTTTTTTTTTTTGCTTTTTTTTTTAATTGTTGGCAATGAGAACAAATTATAGGAACAATTGTAAAAGAGAATATCCCTGAAATTGACAATTTTCATGTAAAACAAACCAAAACAAAATATAGATGATTTTTTAATCTTTTTTTTTCCTTTTTTTTTTTTTGGTTGGCAATGGAAACAAATTTTAGGAATAATAGTAGAAGTTGATATCTCTTAAATTGACAATTTTCATGTAAAATAAAGTCAAACGAACACCAAAAAAGCACTTTTACTTCAACATTTTCCACGTGGAAAATTATATTAATCAAAAACAATAATTTACAATTCTTAGGAAAATAATTTCTAGATAATTCAATTCCCTGAAATTCATTTTCTTTCCACCCAAATTCTATTTTCGCAATCAAACAGACCCTTATTGAATTTGAACCGGATCCTACGATCGAATTCCATCGTGGAAAATTGGGATGCTACTATTACATAACAATAGATAAAAAAAAAAAAAAAGAGGTTAAACCCTGACCTTAAGGGTCCCCCACTACTCCTGCCCTGGAGTATCGTGAGGGAGGTAAATCGCAGGTTATGCCTCCAAGGGTGTAGGGTGGAAAGCTGCTTGTACACTTGCACTTACCCAAGAGCCAAATCCATATTTCAGGATTCGAACCCTTGATGCAGCAGCCTCAAGTAAAGCTGGATTTCTCCACCCTCCCCTTTTACAACTTGAAGATGTGTCCTGGGGGCTACATAACAATAGATAATATTGATAGTTGGTGGATCTAAGTTACCAAATGTAATCCTTTTAAGATTATTCAAAATCATTCCAAATAATAAAATCTCAATAATCAGATTGACTATTCCATGGCATGGAATGATGTGGCAACGATGGGGAGATCCTCTCTCCCACTCTCTAAACAATTCCTTTACTCCTGCAAACATATTACCAAAGAAAGTCCAAAACAAGGGTTATCCAAATGAGCCTTTAGATCAAGGCCTCCTATCAATAAATATTTGAGGGGTCACAAAGCAAACATCCCACCTCAGAAAGCATGGATTACACATCTGAATACAATTGATTAAGAATAAAGCTATTTGTAAAATTGTTGTTGACAATTGTGATTGAAACCTTTGATGTTGTCAAAATTTGAACCATTGATATAAAAAACAGTTCTTAAATGTTAATCAAGATCGTAAAAAAAATATTGTACAAATAGCATAATTGATTAATTAAACTTCAAAATACTCACCCCCTACCTGGGGACATGTCAAGATAGCAAAACCCCACATCATTTGATGACACAAAAATGACTCATGTAGCTAAAAGTTAAGATCCAACTACATTTTCTCCTCTATATAAAGGGTAAAGAAGCATTGTTTTATCACAGAAAGCTTCTTGCATCTGACTGATATTAAGTTTTAGTGTCATTGAACATTCTGAAGCATTCATTTCATTGCTTACGACCAAAGAAAGGAGGTACAGATGGAACTACAACACGGAAAATCGACATTTATGAAGAAACTACACCCAAAATATGCTACTGGAATTCCATCCAACTCAGGAGTATACTCCATGGACAGACCTGCAAAAGGACTGTTACTTGATCCGGCTAGCCAATACAGTGTTACACCTTCTCCTTCCCATGAATATTTCAAAATCAGAAAGAGTAAGTGTATATTCTGTCTTTACAACACACCAAGAATTCCAAGTTTTAATAATCATGACCTCACTGGATTTTCTTGGAAATGCAGGCAGAGCAAATTCAGTAATCCTTAGGATGAATAAATTTGGAGAATGGATGGACAATTTTGCTCAAGGAATCCGAGAGCATGGTAAAGTCTTAACCTGGCTTATTTGTATAGAACGATAGAAGTTGTTATTAGACCAATGGAGCATGCTCGACAAAATGAAGCTGGACAAAATTAAGGATGAGATTTATTTGTTACCATAGATGGTCCTGGTGAATCCAGATTATCAAACATGTCATCAATGTTTCTTGAAACAAATTTTCGAGAATAAATGCAATGCACTGTGGGATGATCTTTTAGGCCTAATGTTCTACTTTGTTTATATCCCTGCAGTGAAATTAGGACCCAAATTAACAGAAACTTTGAAAGGGAAGTTGAGGCTGGGGGCGAGAATCCTTCAAGTAGGCGGCCTGGAAAAAGTTTTCAAGCAGAACTTCAGTGTTAGCAATGGCGAAAAGCTGTTAAAGGCTTCTCAATGCTATTTATCGACCACAGCTGGGCCGATAGCAGGCCTCCTATTTATTTCCACTGATAAAGTTGCCTTCTGCAGTGAGAGATCAATTAAACTCTCTTCTCCAACTGGAAAACAGCTTAAAATACATTACAAGGTAAATATATGACTATTTCAATTGTTTTGAATCATAAATTTATATCTCATCTTCTCTTCGAAAATGAAAATCTAAACTGTTCTCTGAATCTCTCAGGTCACAATCCCACTAGGTAAAATAAAGAGAGCCAATGAAAGCGAAAATGCGAAAAAACCAAGGCAAAAGTATGTGCAGATAGTTACCGAGGATAGGTTCGAGTTCTGGTTCATGGGATTTTTAAATCATCAAAAGGCTTTCAAGAATCTGCAGCAGGCAACCTCTCAAACTCCATCGACAGCAGCTATTGATGCATTGATGATCTCCCTATAGAAACTAGACACTCACAACACATATTCTGTAATAACTATGAACTGTGCAAGGATAAATTAGAACTATTGTAGAATAGATTGTAAATACTTTGCAAATTAGAACTATTGTAGGATTATAGTAAATACTAATACTTTGCTCAGTTTCGAAAGTACAATATTACTCGATGTTACCATTTTTGATCAGATCAAGAAGTAAAACTACATGTTATTACGTTGGTACATACGTAACTATTAATCTATTACCTTAATTATAAATTATAATTTATAATAATTTCTTATAAATGTAAATTTTATTTAGAATTAAAATATGTCCTGAGACCAAGATATAGATGTTAAATTGACTTGTTTTACTGTAATTGGTGCTATGAGAAGAAGGCTATCATTCTCCCAAATTCCACGGCTGAGGAGTGATTCCCTATTAAGACATCGGATTTCATCTTCAAAAGTCAACCTTATTAAGAGGAGTAGTTCAGACCCTTGTATATATGTAAGTGCTCCCATGGTAAGACCACACGGAAGTATGCCTTACCATGGGAATCGGTTTTCTATTTGGATGGAGACTCCAAAGAGAGCCCTGTATTCTACAATGGAGGCCAGGTTATTGTTGGAAGAGAAATGGGAAATGGTTGGGTGAATACTTGGAGTAGAATGGTGAATGCACCATTGTTTTTTTTGTAAATTTAATATACCAATAGTTAATAACATCTGATAATTATTAAAATTTTATGAAACCAATCAATATTGTTGTAATCTAATAATTAATACAAAACAACAACAACAACAACAACAACAACAACAACAACAACAATAATAATAATAATAATAATAATAATAATAAATTGTAGAATCACGTTCATTTAAGAAGCATCAATTTAAAATACCATGTTTCTTCCCAGTTGTCATGATCTTGAACTGAAAATCACCTTTTTTTTTCTTTTTTTTTTTTTGTTTAAATTAGCTACTAATTCAAAAAGAGAAACACAAGAATGAAGAGAGTTATCATCCATTTAAGTTTTTATTGTAGATGTATACCAAGTTCATAATGACTTACATACAATAAATATAATATTGAATTAGCAAATTAGCATGACATAGACTTTCTTGCTACCTAAAATTATGCATTAATAAATATATATGAAATAATATTTTACAAAATTAATAATATCTGCTAATAAATAAATTACTTTGCAACGAATCATGTTAATTTAGAGAAGTCAAACTACAATTGAAAAGTTAGGCACTATCCTTAGACAGGACTGAAGTCCTTTATAAGATTTTTGAAGCTCTTGGTTAAAAAAAAGTTGTCACGTCGTCATTTATACGTGTAATTAATATTTTCCTTAAGTGTATAATGCACTTTTCATTGTGCCATTTCTCGTGCCCATTTTACGAGTAGAGTATCATGTGTTACATTAAACTTTTACATTAACGGGGTTTCATACTTTGTTATAATGCTTGTTACAATATCTAGTGTGAGCTATGAGCTTTAACCTATAGTGTAAGATCATTTAGCTTGATGTAAGGTCAACTAGCTTGACAATGCTTGTTGAATATAAACTCACACAATTTGGTTCAAGCTCATTGATTTGGAGCTTTTTTTACCTGACATAATTCATCAAATGACTGCGCTACATTGACATTTTCACGCCATGTAAAGTTTATATATGTCTACATCATATTGAGGGTATTGAATTATATTAGATTGATTGAAATAAGTTTTGGTTGTTAAAATGCCGTGTAACGATTTGAGTCTCGTGCCATGCCGTTCTCTGATGTACTTTCTGCTCTGATAGTGCTTGAACTCATCTTACACCTCACAACTTTCCGTTCTCCAAGATTTTTTTCAATTGTTACCGGAATTCAATTTAAGTCTCTTATATGTAAATGTCTTCGGTTCAAAACCTATGGAACAGACACAAAGTTGTGAGGGATAAGAGGGCAAATGTCCTTCAAAAGCGGACAACACATTATAGATATGATATAATGGTTTGGACACGAAGCTTGTGTTATTACAGAAAAACGCATGTTTTTTGTACAAACGCGACAAAAAGTCGTAAGAGATAAAATGGTAGATGCCCTTCTAAAATATATAGTATGTATGATGTAACGGCTTGGAGATGAGGCTTGAGTCATGACATGTAGTACCTTAAAACTTCTAAATAATAACATCTCATAAATTTATTCCATTTAATAAAGGGTGGCGTGGAAAGAAGTGGCAATGATAAGGAGAGCCTCACCAGTCTCCCCACTACGAAAAACATGTCTTTGCACATGCAACAATCATCAATTAAAGTAAAGATTTGAAAAAGAATGTTATTTAGATATGCCTTAAACCACAAACTGCTCCTATTCACAAAGCAAACTCCACCTCAGAAAGTATTCAGTACACATCTGCATAAGATAAAGAGACCAAAATCATGTGTTAGGATAGGATTCAATAACTAAACTGCTGACTACCCTCTACCTTGGGGCAGAGAGAAGCACATACCAAATCTTTTCAGTGCTAGAAAGATTACTCATGCAGCAAAAAGTTGAGATCCAACTACTACTTTTTTCCCAATATAAAGGATGAA